AAAAAAAAAAAAAAAAAAAAAAAAAAAAAAAAAAAAAAAAAGTCACATAGGGACACCTGGGTAGCTCAGTCACTTAAGCATCTGCCTTTGGCTCAGGTCATGATCCCAGGGTCCTAGGATGGAGCCCCACCTCAGGCTTCCTCTCTCTGTCCCTCCTCCTGCGTGTGTCCATGCATGCATGCGCACACACTCTCTCTCACAAATAAATAAAATCTTTTAAAAAAATGCTCAACAGGTACTTTAAAAAAACCCTTTTTATTTTTCTAAAATTTGCCATCAATCTGCATAACTGGGAGTCGTCTACAAATCATTATTAACATACGTTTAGCTTCATAGAATTAAGTATTTCCAAAGGCTCTTTTTAGCTCATTTTGAAAGCTATTATACTAGAAAATCATATTCTTATCTGTGCAGTCTGATGGATTATCTCAAACAACTTTTAAAGCTGCTATCTAACATATACCATTTATTTCTAAACTCTGTCCTAGGGGGCACCTGGGTGGCTAAGTCGTTAAGCACCCACCTTCAGCTCAGGTCATGATCCCAGAGTCCCAGAGTCCTGGGATTGAGCCCCACATCAGACTCTGTGCTCAGCGGGAAGCCTGTTTCTCCCTCTCCCACTCCCCCTGCCTGTGTTCCCTCTCTGTCTCTCTCTGTATCAAATAAATAAATAAAATCTTTTTTTTTTTAAAAGTATACTTTAAAATAAATAAATAAATAAACTCAGTCCTGGGAAAATTCACTTGCTTTCACAACCATTAATGACATTTTCAAATGCATTAACAGCCAATTTGTCCCCATCTCTCCCTGCCTGCTACACAATTCCACTTGGATGTGTTGTCATCAACTTTTTTTTTTTTTTTAAGATTTTTTAACTTATTTACTTGAAAGAGAGAGAGAGAGCATGAGAGGGGAGAAGGTCAGAGGGAGAAGTCGACTCCCTTCCAAGCCGGGAGCCCGATGTGGGACTCGATCCCAGGACTCCAGGATCACGACCCAAGCTGAAGGCAGTAGCTCAACCAACTGAGCCACCCAGGCGCCCCATGTTGTCATCAACTTTTAAATGAAATGTTTAAAATAACTAAATTCCCTCTTCCCAAATTCCCTCTCTAGTCCCAACTAACCTGCTATCAATGTTACTGCTATTTTCTCTACCACCTAGGCTGTTCTACCTGTCCCCGCTTTTCTAGTACAGGTCTTCACTATCTAATGCCTAAATATCCTCCTCGCCTATCAGATATCCGACTCCTATAAACCCCAATCCATTCTCATTTGCTCATGGCCACCATTTATCAGGTCACCTTACTTCCCAAAGGCCTTCTCAGGATCAGGTAAGATCAAGTACTTCCAACAGCTTTGGAGACTATAAAACGTTACATAAATGTTGTCCATAATTCAGAAAATTTTTTTCTGTTATTTCAGGGAAAATGTTTGAACTTGATAAAGGAATTTGAAGCATGAAACTAGTTAATGTCAAAAATGTTAAATTCAGGGGTGCTGGGGTGGCTCAGTGGATTAAAGCATCTACCTTCAGCTTAGGTCATGATCCCAGGGTCCTGGGATCAAGCCCCGAATCGGGCTCTCTGCTCAACAGGGAGCCCTGCTTCCCTCCAGCCCCCCACTGCCTGCCTGTCTGCCTACTTGTAATCCCTGTCTGTCAAATAAATAAATAAAATCTTTTTTTAAAAAAAAGTTAAATTCAGAAAGAAAGTTAACTGGATATCTTACCAGAGAAGTTGCCATGAATGGCAAAGCTGATGCCTGTGGCTCGCTGCAAGGTCAAGTTGTATAGGAACATGATGGCAGCAACACTGAGATACTCACAACTCCACAATCAGGCCGCAGTTATAAGGAGTCAAAACAAGCTAAGAGCACATAAAAGCACAAAAATATCAGCTGGGAGACTTACTTTAACAGACATTTCTGTACAGGAACTTCTGGCTGAAGGGCAGAACCCATACAGTAAGGCTTATTGACAAATAACGTTATTTATAACCAGAGAGCATTCTGCATGCCATGCACTAGGCTGTATACTCTGCCTCTAATCCCTACAAATCCCTACAAATAACTCATCATACTAATGAGTTATACTAACTACAGCTATACTAACTACAAATAACTCATTATACTAATTATACAGATGAAGAAATTGAGGTTAAGAAATCAAATCACCTGCCTGAGATCATTAACAAGTGGTAAATATCTGATTTTTAAGAAACGGTGTGCCTTTACTGTCAAGAAACTAAGCAGCTCTGCACGTTCTTGTATTTGCATGGTTACACACACACATGGTTCACAATTCTTTAAAAGCACAGCAAAAAGCTCCTTTCCATCCATTCCCTAGCCTCCATCCCTTCTCCCTGTGCCAAGGGAATATCACTGCATTCAAACTTCACAAAATCTTCAGAATAGATACTAGTGTCCCCCAATTTGCAAATGATAAAATTGAAAATCAGCTAAGGAAACAGTTGCCCAAGTACCAAAACACGAATTCAAAAGAGGGTCTTGGCACCAAAAACTGTTTCCGTTATTTACGCTTTCAACACACTGAGTCTTCCCACCTTACAGTTGGCGTGTCGTTTACGTCCATCTTAACCCCTCCTCTCACCCACCCCCGGGCCTAAAAGCCGGGCAATTTCTGAAGTCTTACTTTGATCCAGGCTTCGTTCCCACCTTGGAGACGGAAGTGGGAGACGACTCATGAAAGCCGTTTTCGTACCCAAGCAATCCCCTCCACCTTTCCCTGGCCTGGACCTTACGGGCCCAGGCTGCTTCAAAACCCGGCCAGAAGCCCGCCCAACCCTCCTACATGACCGCTCTCTGCCTCCCCAGGCCGGGGAAACTTGGGAGCCTTCTTCTTTACCCTGCAGCAGGAAGGATGGCGTAGATATCCAACAGATGCTGAGTTCCTTCAAGGCCTAAGCCACCGCCAGCTTCAACCCACCGGTGTCCGCCATTAGCTCTAAAGGCAGGGACCTTCCGGCGGGCGCGAGACGTATAAGAAGTCCCCAACCGGCGCCTGAAGAATATATATGTAATTTTTAAAAATGTTTCTTTCTTCGACTCGACATTGAAAATTAGTTAAACATACCTTATGCCCGTCACTTTTCCCAGGAGAACAGAAATCAAATAGACCTTTTAAAGTGTACTTTAAAAAAAAAAAAATACCTATAAATCCGTCGGGCATTTTCTTGGGCAGCCGCACGACCGGGCGCGCAAACGAGGCGGGGGCCTCGCGGGGCCGGAAGCGCGAAATGGGGACCAAGATGGCGGATCTCGAGTCCCCTCAGAAGCTGTCAGGGGTTCCTCCGCCTGAGGGGATGGGAGGAGGCTGCTGCTCGGAAATCTCTACCGAGCTCATTCGCTCCCTGACCGAGCTGCAGGAGCTAGAGGCTGTATACGAACGGCTCTGCGGGGAGGAGGTGGGGGGATGGCCCAGGGGCAGGGGGCTTAGGAGACGTCAGTCTTGGGAATTCCGGGCTGTGGGAAGTTCTCTCTCTGCCTCTGCCGAGGGAAACAAAAAAGCACTTATTGAAAAAGGAGGAGTGTAGTTGAGTGTATCTGGGGGGACGTGACATCTCTGTTCACTTGATCTGGTGTCCCTAAACTTGTTTTCCGTGTTATTTCGGCGATCTGCTTCGTTCCCTTTGATTTCCCTGGCCCTTAATCTAAGTTTTTCGGCCAGAGCAGTTAGAGTCAACTTGCTTGCTTCTCAAAGTAAGAAAGGCTCCCTTGCATTGAATTAGCAATTTAAAAAATTACGAAACTCTTTCACCGCGTTACCTCCTTTAAGAAGGAAGTCTTTGCAAGTAAACCTGTAGCGTTATAAGACTTTTGTAGGGAATGACTTGGGCGGGGGGGGGGGTTAATTTTAGCGTTCGGTAAGTGCACAGCTTTGTAGAAGCTTGAGATTTTAAGACAGGCACAACTGTCTAATCTTGGACTAGGAACTTTCATCTTTTGGACCCCTGCATTGTGTCAGGGGCATAGACTATATTCTCATGAGGATTCCTTGCACCCTCCATTTTACGTGGCAACCTGATGCTGCCAGTATATTTTTAAATGTCATTTGGGTTCCTTGCCACTCTGAAGAGAGAGATCTAAGGTCTGATAAAGTTTAGTAGCTGTTCCCTAAACCAAACTTTTAATAAAGTTTGAGTACAAAAGGCAGTTTCAGCGGGAGGGAGGAGGGATTATTGATATCTAAGAATATCTTCAAATATTAAATTGCACCAAGTAAAGCATTTTATGGTAACATTTTTCAGCAAGATGTGCTTTATAAAACTTAGTATTTTAACAGTCCTAAACAGTCCTGAACAGCATTCATTAAGTCAGTCAATTTTTAAGGTGAAATTAAGCCCATCTTCCAGACAGGACAATTTTAGTTCTGTATTTGTATTTAATGACTGTCAAGGGGACGTTCCCCTCTGGATCCTACTGAACTATTTTAATAGAAATATATAGCTGATATTGATGGCTGTTAATAAACGATGCTTCACATATTCTGTTAAGCACTTTACGTTTGTTACCTTGTTTGGCTCTCACAACAGTCCTATGGGATATGTATTACGTTTTACAGATGAAGAAACTCAAGCATTTAAGAAGGTTAATGTCTTTTGCAGTAATGCAGTAAATAACTTTGCTGAGAGATTTATGTTTTTATCCCTTCTGGGTACTGACTGTACACTATGAAGGGACTTTTTGTAACTTCCACTTTGAAAGTTTCATTTAGCCATTATATTTTAAATGCCTTCCTGCATTAGGTACTATGCTAATTATATTGAATTAAAGTTTACTTCTGGCCTTTATGGTGTTCATCTGCTAGATGGGATAAAATACACAAAAGGTAGCAACCAGCATGCAATGTGATACATGCAAAAATGAAGTATTATTGGTTAAAGTCCTAGGAGAACTCAGTGAAAGGAAAGACATTCGAAATGGGATTCACCCTTAAGCTAAGTGGTTGGGTTAGATAACTCTTAAGGTTCCTTCTGACCATTCTGATGACAAAATGCTTGTCTGTGTTTCAGAAACTGGTAGAGAGAGAACTGGATGCTCTTCTGGAACAGCAAAACACCATTGAAAGTAAAATGGTCACTCTCCATCGAATGGGGTGAGTCTCGCAGCTCAGCAAGAGCTATTGTCATTCTGACAAGGTCCACTGGATAAATTACTGTTTTTCCTAACTTTCTGTTATAAAATGCCACTTGACTTTGAAATGTAGAGAAGGATTATTTCAGGGTGAAGTGAACACTTAAGGGTATAGTCAAGTGGTTCTCAAAAGTGTCCTTGGAAGTATCAAACTCATTGGGAAACTTGTTGGAAATGCAAATTACGAGTCGCCATTCAAAACCTATTGAATCAGAAACTCTGGGGGTAGAGCCGAGGAATCTGACAAGCTTTTAACGAGCACACCCACTGATCCTGATTATGGTTCAGGGTTGAGAACCACTGTTTTTACAAACTTTGGGTATTTGCTAGTCATAAAAATCGCTCTTTGATCTCATCACCCTCTTTGATTGTTGGTTAGTGCACTTTATACTCAGCAGTGGGAAGCATCTATTCTCTGGTTCTTTAGCAGTACCTATTTAGAGGTCTGTTTAGTAGTTATAAAAAAAGTCATTTTTTTTATTTAGTATAGACCTGAGTTTTCAGCAAAATACTCTTTAGGAACAGCTGTGAGTAGAGTGAACTGAGCTAAAAGTTGTGGGGAAGTACAAAGACAGTAGAAGACATAGTCTCCATTTACAAACAAATTTTCCATCTCTTATTCCTACCTTCTGCCTCTGTGGATGTGTATGTGCTGACATGTGTCTCCAGTCCCAATCTGCAGTTGATTGAAGGAGATGCAAAGCAGCTAGCTGGAATGATCACCTTTACCTGCAATCTAGCTGAGAATGTATCCAGCAAAGTCCGTCAGCTTGACTTGGCCAAGGTAATCCTGTTGAACTTCTGATGTTTGAGTTAGTAGGGGGCAGTAGAGAGGCCACCACATTAGAAATTAGAGTAGCACCATTCAATAGAAATCTAATCCAAGATAGTAAAACCCAACAGAGAGGCAGAAGAAGAGAAAACTCAAGACCAGTACATCTTATGAATAAGGACATAAAAATCCTCAGCAACACCAACAAACTAAATCTAGCACCACATGAAAAAGAATATACTATGATCAAGTGGGATTTATCCCAGGAATGCAGAGTTGCTTTAACATCTGAAAATTAGGGGCACCTGGGTGGCTCAGTCGACCTGATCTCAGAGTCCTGGGGTCGAGCCTTGCATCAGGCTTCCTGCTCAGCGGGAGGTCTGCTTCTCCCTCTCCCACTCCCCCTGCTCCTGTTCCCTCTCTCTCTCTCTCTCTCTGTCAGATAAATAAATAAAATCCTTTAAAAAAAACCTGAAAATCAATTAATATATCCACCACGTCAGTAGAGTAAAGGATAAAAACACATGATCATCTTGTAAACTCAGAAAAGGCATAAACTCAAAAAACTTGTAATAAAAGGAACTTCCTCAACCTGATAAAGGCCAATTACAAAAATCCCACATCTGACTTCATACTTACCAGTGAAAGACTGGTAAGATTGCCCCTAAGAACAGGAATAAAACAAGGATGCAGCTCTTCTTTTCTTCAACATTGTCCTGGAGTTTCTAGCCAGACGTTTAGGCAAGAAAATGAAATAGAAATCATACAAATTGGAAAAGAATATAAACCATACATTTAACTTTAGATTTTTCTAGTAGCCATTTTTCTATTTTTCCGCTTTCTCTTTTCTTCCTTCCTTCCTTCTTTCTTTTTCTTTCTTTCAAGTAGGCTCTGCACCCAACATGGGTTTTAACTGCATGACCCTGAGATCAAGAGTATCATGCTCTCCTGAATGAGCCAGCCAGGTGTCCCACTAGTAGCCAATATTTTTTTTTTTTTTTTTTTCATTATTTTAAAAAGTAAAACAGAGGGTTGCCTGGGTAGCTCAGTTGGTTAGGCGTCTGCCTTTGGGTCAAGTCATAGTCCCAGGGTCTTGGGATTGAGCCCTACATCAGGCTCCCTGCTCAGTGGGGAAACTGCTTCTCTCTCTCCCTCTTGCTCTGTGAAATCAATCAATCAATCTTTTTAAATTCAAAAATAAATAAAATATTTTAAAAATAAAAAGTAAAATAGAAATAGGTGAAAATAATCTTAGTAATATGTTTTGTTTAACCCATTATATCCAAAATACCATTTAAATATATGATTACTATAAAATGGTATTAATGAGATATTTTGCCTTATTTCTATACTAAATCTTTGAAATTCAGTGTGTGTTTTACACATCGTAATTTGGACTAGCCACATTTCAAGTCCTCAATGGCCACAGAGTATTAATGACTACTGTAGTGAATAGCAGAGGATCTGGGCTCTTGAATAAGTCAGTCCCAGTCTCAGTTTTCCCTTGTGAAATACCATAACTCTTTCCAATCTATTTGTTGAGATTCTGTAAAAATAACTTACCACAAAATGCTAATAGCCACACAGCCACCAAGTCACATTGTTAAGGTTTTTTTTTTACATATTCTTGCTTATTCTAGGGGAACCTGACTGGCTCGGTAGGAAGAGAGCACGACTCTTGATCTTAGGGTTGTGAGTTCTAGCCCCATGTTGGATGTAGAGATTACTTAAATAAACAAAACTTAAAGAAAAAAAATCTTGCCTATTCTAAAAGAAAAATACTTTCCACATATATCACTTATCTTTTTTTTTTTTTAAAGATTTTATTTATTTATTTGACAGAGAGAGATCACAAGTAGACAGAGAGGCAGGCAGAGAGAGAGGGAGAAGCAGGCTCCCCACTGAGCAGAGAGCCGGATGCGGGGCTCGATCCCAGGACCCTGAGATCATGACCTGAGCCGAAGGCAGCGGCTTAACCCACTGAGCCACCCAGGCGCCCCTATATATCACTTATCTTATTACTTGGTTTATAATGTCCTCTTCCCAAATGTTAAATACAGCCTGATTCCATTATTAATTTAATAGCATCAGCCAAATGCAAATACGGCTTGTCCCTGTTCCTGTTTCCATTAAAATGAATGACCTCGTCACGTAAATAAAACTGCATGATACTATCGGTGCTATTGATCATCATCAGTAACAGTTTTGTGACTGGTCTTGGTTTTCGTTCAGGGCCTCGGGTTAACTGGATTCTCCTCCTGAATCTCCCTACCTTCTGAAGAGGTGTTTTGAGAGAATAGGGCATTGTTTCTAAGCACCAGGTCTTTTTGCAGAACCGCCTCTATCAAGCCATTCAGAGAGCTGATGATATCTTGGACCTGAAGTTCTGCATGGATGGAGTTCAGACTGCTTTGAGGAATGAAGATTATGAGCAGGCTGCGGCCCACATTCATCGCTACTTGTGCCTGGACAAGTCAGTCATTGAGCTCAGCCGACAGGGCAAAGAAGGTGACATCCATCCCAAACTGTTGATTTCTACGGTCGTTACAAGTATCTGTAATCTGGTTTAAGCACTTATAAATTCTGGTTTAGTTACAAGCATCTGTAATCTGAACAAGGCAAACTCACCCAAGAAAAGGGTGTCAGGCAATTTCCTTGTCTGGTACTCAACCCTATAGAGGTTGTAGACTACCCTAGGACAGGTGTTGTTATTCCCATTTTATGAAAAAGGAAACTGAATCCAGATCTACTGTTCCTCTGGCCAGTGGGTTTTCACTTGACCATATCGCCTACTTACAAAATTTAATTCTTAGCCTGGCTTTCTAGGCCTTCTGTGATTTCAACCCACCCGGTCTTTCTCACTTTGTTTCATGCTGTTCACTCATGCATCCATTCACTGTGCACGATACAGAATACTCTGTATGCCAGAGTTTATATTACTTGCAATACCCTAGACATATTTTTTTCATCTTTTTATCTCTATTCCTTTGCTCATTTCATTCCCTTGGCCTGGAATGTATGTACTTGTTTTTCAGGTATCAAAACCCTGCCCATCTTTAAAAGATAGGATATCATTTCTGGGAAGACTTTTCTAATTACTTCAACTGAAATGTGACTTATGGACACTCTTTTACTATACTTATACACTTAGTTTGTTATAGTTACTTGTGCACAGATCTTACTTTTTTTTTTTTCTTGATTAGAACTTCTGTATATTTCAAATGATTAGTGGTGCACAAAATGGCACGGACCTGAGAGAGTACCATTCTTTACATTATTTCCCATTTTCCTCCCATTGTGCAGGCAGCATGATTGACGCCAACCTGAAATTGCTACAGGAAGCTGAGCAGCGTCTCAAAGCCATTGTAACAGAGAAGTTTGCCCTTGCTACTAAGGAAGGGGATCTGCCCCAGGTGGAGCGCTTCTTCAAGATCTTCCCACTGCTGGGTCTACATGAGGAGGGATTAAGCAAGTTCTCAGAATACCTTTGCAAGCAGGTATGGCCCCTGATTGCTTGGTAAGAGAGTGGTATAATTCTCTGCCTGCAGATTGGGGCACTGTGTGCATCCAGTTTCTGTGGATACTTTCTCACTTCTGGATTTAACTCCCCTTTCCTGTTCCCACTGTAGCAGGACTGGATGCATACATTCATTCAACACTTATCTAGGTATGGCCTAGACATCTACTGATGTACATTCATGTCTGACAGACCAAGTGAAAACAGAAAAATTAAAATGCAAATTCTCTGACAAGTTGAATCACCCTTTTTAAGGTTTCAGCCAGAAACTGGCTTCTTTTAAGAGCATTCAGAGTTGTTGGCTAGTTGTTTTCAGACTTCATAACCAGGATTGAGTCTCAAAATAAGCCACATTGAGATGAAGGAGGTGAGGTCACTTAAGGTTAAATCCTGAAAAAGAAACAGATTTCAGTTAAAGTCTCAGCCCCTTCCCCTTGACGTTAGATGGAAAGATGCAAATCTCAGCAGACATGTGTGTAGAGGGTTATTGTTTATAACTATATGTCAGAGTACATCCTGCCACCTCCCCCCCAGCAAACTCTCTGTGATAGAACACTGTTCTGCATTAAGAAAAATGAGACAGTTCTGAATGTGCTGACCTGTTTCATTTTCTAACATATGGTTAAGTTAAACAACCATATGCAGCATTTTTGCTTCAAATGACAGAAGTGGCAATAAAATACATGTTTGTATAAGGGTTAATGATGGTTTTCTCTGGAGAAGAGACTTAGGAGACTAAGAGACATAGATAAAGGAAGAACTGCTTTTCACAGAGCACTCCTTTATTCCTTTTGAATATTTGAGTGTGTATGTCTTAACCGTTCTCGAAAATTTATTAAAAACAAAATATAAGGGGCGCCTGGGTGGCTCAGTGTGTTAAAGCCTCTGACTTCAGCTCAGGTCATGATCCTGGGATTCTGGGATCGAGCCCCACATCAGGCTTTCTGCTCAGTGGGGAGCCTGCTTCCCCCCCCCCGCCCCCGCGCCTGCCTCTCTGCCTACTTGTGATCTCTGTCAAATAAATAAAATCTTTAAAAATAAGATAAAATAAAATATAAGGGGGATATGTGGGGCTGGCCATTTTTTATCAGTACTTTGCCATCTTGACCTAGAAATGGCTTCTACTTTAAATCCCTTTAAAATAAATAAAATCTTGGGGCACCTGGGTGACTCAATGGGTTAAGCCTCTGCCTTCAGCTCAGGTCATGATCTCAGGGTCCTGGGATCGAGCCCCACATCGGGAATCTCTGCTCAGCGGGGAGCCTGCTTCCCTCTCTCTCTCTCTCTGTCTGCCTCTCTGCCTACTTGTGATCTCTGTCAAATAAATAAATTTTTAAAAAATTATAAAATAAAATCTTAAAAAATAAATAAATCCCTTTAAAATCCCTTCTGCAGTACCCACATTCCTTGTTCTCAATGAAGCACCATTTTTGTTTGTTTGGGGTCTTTTTAGGATTTTATTTATTTTGACAGAGACAGCCAGAGAGGGAAACAAGCAAGGGGAGTGGGAGAGGGAAAAGCAGGTTTCCTGCTGAGCAGGAAACTTGATACAGGGCTCGATCCAGGACCCGGGGACCATGACCCAAGCCGAAGCAGACACTTAATGACTGAGTCACCCGGGCGCCCTCAATGAAGCACCATTAATGATAACTTTGAGTTATCCTTTGAGGTGATTATTGGAAGTCGGGACTCTCTCCTTTGGCTAATGGCAATACATACCTTCAAAGAAAAGGAAAGCATTATTTATATCTTTGAATTAAAGAAGAGTTACCACTATGCTCAAGTTCTTTGTCTTGCGTGAGGCCGAGACAACTCAGAGTCCCCAAGGGATGTTCCTCTATCCTCTCTAAGCTTTCAAGCATCAAAGCAAACATGGGAAAAGAGAGTCAAGGGAGGTCTTTTTGGAAAACTGAAACTAGCCTTTGATCTGAGAATTGTGGATTTTCCACTTTTCAGGTGGCCAGTAAATCTGAGGAGAATCTGCTGTTGGTGCTGGGGACAGACATGAGTGATCGGAGAGCTGCAGTCATCTTTGCAGATACACTCACTCTTCTTTTTGAAGGTAAATCTCCTTTTCCACTCGAGAGAGACTGGAGACTTCACCACTTAACACCCACATCCTAGGTTTTCTTCTCCCCTTGCTAGCCTGATGCCTTCATTTTACTCCTATAGCTTGCTGTGTATTGATTGATACATTAGAGAATTAACCTTTTTTTTTTTAAGATTTTATTTATGTATTTGACAGAGAGAGAGATTACAAGTAGGCAGAGAGGCAGGCAGAGAGAGGGGAAGCAGGCTCCCTGCTGAGTAGAGAGCCCGATATGGGGCTCGATCCCAGCACCCTGAGATCATGACCTGAGCCGAAGGCAGAGGCTTAACCCATTGAGCCACCCAGGCGACCCTGGAGAATTAACTTTTTAATTCGGTATCTAATTAGCAAAAATTAGTCTCTCAAGTCTTTTAATCAGCCCTATCCCTCAAGACCCAAATGCTAAGAGTAAATTTAACCATAAAGTAAATTATTGGGAAGAGAGTGATGCTGATTTCTAAAGATGCTCCTGTTAAACTATCATACATAAATGCCTTCTGGTTTACCAAGCACTGTATATATTAAACAGACATTTGCTTAGCAATTCCCAGTACTGGCAAGAACCATTTGTATTCATTTGGGGAGGTGAAATAGCATTAAAGAGTTGAGTTAGACCCCAGGTCAGTCCTGGATAGAAGAAAGGAGTTTATTTTGTGGAAGGAATATTTGGAATCTAGCCCTCTCATTTTCTCCATTCTAGGTATTGCCCGCATTGTGGAGACCCACCAGCCAATAGTGGAGACCTATTACGGGCCAGGGAGACTTTATACTCTGATAAAATACCTGCAGGTGGAATGTGACAGACAAGTGGAGAAAGTGGTGGACAAGTTCATCAAGCAGCGGGACTACCACCAGCAGGTGAGCAGGGGAAGCTGCAGGGGGGTTTGGACACAGTGTGAGCCAGCGATACTGAGTGCAATAAATTTAAGGTGCGATAGGGAAGGGATGAAAGCAGAGGTAGATAGAAAAATACGTGCCAAATGCAAACTGCCTGCATCTTGCCTCTCAGCAACTTACTTTGGATTTGAGGTATTCTGATGATATAGTACAAGACTGAGAAAGAAGTAGAAAGGGCTTCTTGAAACAAACAGAAACATTAGAGCACCTCTCTATCACAGAATGTGCAACAGTACCTTCTAGTGCTATAAGGAGAATTCTATTTCTTAAGGTCCTATTAAGTGTCAAGTCATTTGTCTCAGATTTCTCCTTAGTTCTTTAAGTGCTCACAGTAACACTTGCTTTTTTTGTGAACTTTATTTCTCCTTTCCTTTGAGCAGAGGAAGTAAGTAGGATTTAGAAATAGGGATAGCCATTCAGCTTTATTTCTAGAACTCTGAGTACGCAGTAGTTCATTCGAGCACCATTAACATCACTTCTCAGTGCAATAATAGAGGAGAGCATTGGCATCTAAATCAAAAGTAAATTTTTGGCTCATCATCCTGATAGCCTACTTTTGGACTGCCTGTTAAGCAAACTAAACTTAAACATTCTTTTATGCCAGAAGTTTGGAGGGAGGAGCAAGAGGGAGATAGAAGGAGGGTGGGGAAGAACATTCTCATTTCTTTGGTATATTGCAGTTCCGGCATGTCCAGAATAGCTTGATGAGAAATTCTACAACAGAAAAAATAGAACCAAGGTAATAACCCTCTTTTTCTTAGCCCATAGGAGTTTGAATTGGTAATTGTGTATCATTCAGAGACTGCTCTATTACTATGTGATCTGTGTTTCAGAAATACTCTATGATTCAAGCTTTTATTTTTTTCTAATAAAAATATGCTTGTTAAAATTCAAATATTAAAAAAATGTATTCGGGGCGCCTGGGTGGCTCAGTGGGTTAAGCCTCTGCCTTCGGCTCGGGTCATGATCTCAGGGTCCTGGGATCGAGCCCCACATCGGGCTCTCTGCTCAGTGGAGAGCCTGCTTCCCCCTCTCTCTCCGCCTGCCTCTCTGCCTCCTTGTGATCTCTGTCTGTCAAATAAATAAACAAAATCTTTAAAAAAAAACAACGTATTCATTCAATCAGTAAATTTTTACTGAGTACACATTTTGGGTCAAACACTGGCCTTTGTTACTGGGGATGTGGCAGCAAGCAAAGTAAGCAAACCAGATATAATTCTTTCCTTGTGGCATCTGTAGTCTATAAAGTAGATAATAATAATACCTAACTTATATATAGTGTTTACTATATGGCATACATTGTTTTATGTATGTATTAACAAATATTTATTTTTTATGCCTTTTTTAAGATTTTATTTATTTGACAGAGAGAGAGAGACCACAAGCAGACAGAGAGTTAGGCAGAGAGAGAGGGAGAAGCAGACTCCCTGCTGAGCAGAGAGCCCAATGCGGGGCTCGATCCCAGGACCCCGAGATCATGACCCGAGCCAAAGGCAGAGGCTTAACCCACTGAGCCACCCAGGCACCCCTTTATGTCTTAACAAATATTCAGGCATTTATTCAGGGGTTTCTCAGCCTCTTACTATTATCATTTTGGCTAGATAATTCTTTGGTAGGGTGGACCATGCTGTGTATCGTAAGATGTTTAGTAGTAGCATTCTTGGCCTCCACCTACTAGATGCTGGTAGCGTGGTGTCACCAGAAACTGCCAAATGTCTTGGGGGCAGAGGGTGGGATGAAAATCACCTTCAGGGGCGCCTGGGTGGCTCAGTGGGTTAAGTCTCTGCCTTCGGCTCGGGTCATGATCTCAGGGTCCTGGGATTGAGCCCCTCATCGGGCTCTCTGCTCAGCAGGGAGCCTGCTTCCTCCTGACTCTCTGCCTGCCTCTCTGCCTACTTGTGATCTCTCTCTCTGTCAAATAAATAAATAAAATCTTTAAAAAAAAAAAAAGAAAAAGAAAATCACCTTCAGTTGAGGGTCACTGATTTAATCCAGAAACGTTTTTTTACAGAGGAGGAAACTAAGGCCTGAAAAGGTCAAGTGACTGGCCCAATGTCATACAGCTAGAAGATCGCAGAGCCAGGAATAGAATCCAGGCAGTCCTACTCTAGAGTTCATATTGTTAATCATTATGATATACTACTTGTAGGGTGCAGGAGAGCATGTAATAAAGGGATCTAACTTAGCTGATAAAGTTCAATGAAAAGTCTCAGGAAATGACCTTAGATCTAAGACCTTAAGAGTAACTAGAAATGGGGTGCCTGGATGGCTTAGTCATTTAAGCCTTTGCCTTCGGCTCAGGTCATGATCCCAGAGACCTGGGATCAAGCCCTATATCAGGCTTCCTGCTCAGCGGGCAGCCTGCTTCTCCCTCTCCCTCTGCCTCTCTGCTTGTGCTCACTTGTGTGCTCTCTTTGTGTCAAATAAATAAACAAAATCTTTAAAAAAAAAAAAAAAAAAAGGTGACTAGAAATAAGATGTGAAGAGTTTTCCAGGTAGAGCAGGGAAAACATATGCAAAGTTGCTGTGTATTTGAAAAACTGAAAGAAGAGCAGTGTAGTTGAAGTACAGAGTTGGGGAGAACCTGATCTGAGGTAAATCCAGACAGGTCATTAGAGTCAGACCACTCAGGGTCCTATATCCTAAATGCAATGGAAATCATGTGATTACAGTATGACCACATCTATGTTTTGAAAAGCTCTTGTGGAGTTCATTATGGAAAATGAGCTAATTTGTGCATATAATGTGAGGGAGGGATTCAACTTCATTCTTTTTTTTTTTTTTTTTAATTATTTATTTGACAGAGATCACAAGTAGGCAGAGAGACAGGAAGGGGGCAGGGGGTGGGGGGAAGCAGGCTCCCTGCTGAGCAGAGAGCCCAATGTGGGGCTCGATCCCAGGACCCTGAGATCATGACCTGAGCCGAAGACAAGAGGCTTAACCCACTGAGCCACCCAGGCGCCCCAACTTCATTCTTTCTAATGTGGAGATCAGTCATCATCACAGCACAATTTGTGGGAAAGACTCTTCTTACTGAATTGTCTGCGCACTTCTGTTGGAGATCAGTTGACCATAATGTGAGGATTTCTGGACTCTAAACTAATCTATATGCCTGTCCTTAATGCCAGTACCACACTGTCTTCATGCTGTAGCATTACAGTAAGTTTTCAAATTGGGAAGTATGAGTCCTTCAACTTTGTTAATTTTTTCAAGATTGTTTTGGCTCTTCATCTGAATGGGCATGGGTCACAGTTTAATAGTGTATCCTAAAATCCCACCACAGGTAAATAAGAGGTTGGGGAGGTGTGGTTCCTTTCATGTGAAGCATAGGTAAACCACTAGCAAAACTACACTTCCCATTCTCTTATTTAGCCCTGACAGTATTTTAGTGGTGAGTGGTTCAGGTGAAACAGGTAAGTGGAGTATGTGGTTGAAGCTCTCTCTGAGTATAATCGGGCCAGCAGAGCCAGGATGACTGTCTGGCAGAGCTGACCCTTCTGGGCCCGGTGGGAGAGGGAGTTTGGGACTGTGTTTGCCCTGTAGTTCTTATATCTGGGAATCCAGTGTCCTCCTTCTTACTCCTGCTCCATGTATCTCAGGGAACTGGACCCTATCCTGACTGAGGTCACCCTCATGAATGCCCGCAGTGAGCTGTACTTACGCTTCCTCAGGAAGAGGATCAGCTCTGATTTTGAGGTGGGGGACTCCATGGCCTCAGAAGAAGTAAAGCAAGGTAAAAGGCATTTCCCATATTTTCTGGGAGGGCTCGGACAGAGTTGGCACTGATCTCTTAATCACACCACACTGATCTTGTAAGCCACAGATCTCTTAACAAGGAAGTAACTAGCACTTCTTAGCCTTTGTATTCTGTGGGCAAACTGACTCCCAAAAAGAAAGACAGACTTACTGAATATTAGAATTAGACTTGCTCTATGAGACCATTTAGTCATTTTACAGGTGAGGAAAGCTAATGTCCAGAATGGTTAAATTATTTTCCTCTAATCTTTTTTTTTTTTTTTAAGAAGGAATTTTTTTTTTTTTTTTTTTAAGATTTTGTTTATTTGACAGAGATCACAAGTAGGCAGAGAGGCAGGCAGAGAGAGAGGGGGGGAAGCAGGCTCCCTGCTGAGAGCCCAATGCGGGGCTCGATCCCAGCACCCTGAGATCATGACCTGAGCCGAAGGCAGAGGCTTAACCCACTGAGCCACCCAGGCACCCTCCTCTAATCCTTTCTCCACACCATGTTTTGTCGCCAGCTCGATTTAGGGATTAGTATTTAATATAAATAGGTGATATGGGCCACCTGGCTGGCTTAGTTGGTGGAGCATGTGACTCGATGTTGGGATTGTGAGTTTGAGCCCCACATTGGGTATAGAGATTACTTAAAAATAAAATCTTAAAAAATAATAATGATAAAAAATAAGTAAATAGGGGCACCTGGGTGGCTCAGTGGCTTAAAGACTCTGCCTTCGGCTCAGGTCATGATCCCAGGGTCCTGGGATCAAGCCCTGCATCGGGCTCTCTGCTCTGCAGGGAGCCTGCTTCCTCCTCTCTCTCTGCCTGCCTCTCTGCCTACTTGTGATCTCTGTCTGTCAAATAAATAAATAAATAATCTTTAAAAAAAAATAAGTAAATAAATAAGATAGGTGATTTGCACACATGATGTGTAGGTACACAGAACAAAAAGATATACTTAATTCCGTAAGGATACTTTCGGGAGTGATAAGAATATTCTAAAACTGGATTGTGGCTATTATTACAAAACTCTGTAAAGTTACTTTATTTTTTTTTTTTAAAGACTTTATTTATTTATTTGAGAGAGAGACAGTGAGAGAGAGCATGAGTGAGGAGAAGGTCAGAGAGAGAAGCAGACTCCCCGCGGAGCTGGGAGCCCGACGCGGGACTCGATCCCAGGACTCCAGGATCATGACCTGAGCTGAAGGCAGTCGTCCAACCAACTGAGCCACCCAGGCGTCCCTGTAAAGTTACTTTAAAAAAAAAATTGAAATGTACAAATACAAGGTGTAAATTTTATAGTATGTAACACTTCAGGGGCTCCTGGGTGGCTCAGTTGGTTAAGCATCGGCCTTCGCCTCAGGTCATGATCCTAGAGTCCTGAGATCGAGCTATGCACACTTGCTCTCTTTCTCTTTCTCTCTCTAAAATAAATAAAATCTTTTTTAAAAAATAACACTTTAGGGACGCCTGGGTGGCTCAGTTGGTTAAGCAGCTGCCTTCGGCTCAGGTCATGATCCCAGCGTCCTGGGATCGAGTCCCACATCAGGCTCCTTGCTTGGCGGGGAGCCTGCTTCTCCCTCTGTCTCTGCCTACCATTCTGTCTGCCTGTGCTTGCTCTCTCTCCCTCTCTCTCTGACAAATTAAAAAAAAAAAAAATAATAACACTTTAATACAGTATTGAGCCATAATATTGAAAAAAGAGTATATATTTTAAAGAGTATATGAAAAGAGTATATAGTATAAAGAAAGCCTTTCACTCCCTCCCTCAGTCTCCCAGTTCCCCCAGTCACAAGTTTTTTTTTTTTGTTTTGTTTTTTTAAAAGATTTTATTTATTTATTTGTCAGGGACAGAGGGAGAGAGAGCGAACGAGCACAGGCAGACAGAGAGGCATGCAGAGGCAGAGGGAGAAGCAGGCTCCCCGCCGAGCAAGGAGCCCGATGTGGGACTCCATCCCAGGACGCCGGGATCATGACCTGAGCCGAAGGCAGCCACTCAACCAACTGAGCCACCCAGGCGTCCCCCCAGTCACAAGTTTTAAAGGGATAAATACATTGGGAAGAAATGTGGGCCACAGTCCAGTTTCATTTACAGATTGATTCTCTGGATTTTTAAGAAGACCATTTAATTCCTGGTGGTTAAGTATATGCAGGATTCCCTGAACTAGAGACTTGAAACTATCACAGCATCTCTGGCATTCTACATGACTTTAATACATGGCAAGGGAATTATTTATATGACCCGGAATGGTATTGCTTTGGTGTTTAAAGGAAGATGAATGCTCATTTGGATTTTGATGCGCATTGCTATTCATAAAGACTGTCACTGTTCAGAGCTGTGTGTCCAATACAGTAGTCACCAGCCCCATGGGACTCTCTAAATTTACATTTAACTAAAATTAAGAATTCAGTTTCTCCAAACTGAGAGTTGCTGAGGGGAGAGGGATAGGGAGAGGGTGGTTGGGTTATGGACATTGGGAAGGGTATGTGCTATGGTGAGTGCTGTGAAGTATGTAAACCTGATGATTCACAGACCTGTACCCCTGGGGCTAATAATACATTATATGTTAATAAAAAATTAAAAATTTAAAAAATAAAAATTTTAAAATTTAAAAAGAATTCAGTTTCTCAATTACATTAGCCACATTTCAAGTGCTGAATAGTGGCTACCATATTAGACAACACAGATATAGAACATGTTAATTACCACAGAAAATTCTGTTGGACCACACTGGTTTAGAGAATGAAATAGAGTGTACCCAATATATTTCAGTCTTTGCCCTAGAAACTTAAGAATTTTAAGGCTTACTACTTAATTCTAATGGGAAAGAAGTAAAAGGTCCTTTGTACAAACACTTTTATTGTAAGGGTGCCTGGCCTTCTCAGTCAGTGAGAATGCGACTCTTGATCTCAGGATTTTGAGTTTGAGCCCCATATTGAGTACAGAGATTATTTAAAGATAAAAATCTTTTAAAATTTATCATTATCTGCAATTACTGTGGTTTCCAGTTATCCCTAATAAGGACAAAACATTTAGAAATAACCCAAGTGTCTAAAGATAGAGTTTAGGGGCGCTTGGGTGGCTCAGTGGGTTAGGCCTCTGTCTTTGGCTCGGGTCATGATCTCGGGGTCCTGGGATCGAGCCCCGCATCGGGATCTCTGCTCGGCGGGGAGCCTGCCTCTCTCTCTCTCTCTCTGCCTACTTGTGATCGCTCTCTCTCTCTGTCAAATAAATAAATAAAATGTTTAAAAAAAAAGTTTTAAAAAATGTGGACTGTCTACCTGATAAGCTATCACACAGCCATTAAAAATAAGTAAGTTAAGAAAAAAGAAGCTTTGTAGAAACATTGAAAATATTTATGATGTAATCTTTTTGTTTTTTTAATTAATTTTGTATTTGAGTATAGTTGACATACAATGTTACATTAGTTTCAGGCATATATAATATACTTTTTTAAAAGCTTTATTGGTTTTAAATAAGAGAGAGAGAGCACGCGCATTGCATGCAAGTGCACGAGCAGGAGGGGCAAAGGGGGAGAGAATCCTCAAGCAGACACCCCGCTAAGCACAGAGCCCTATGCAGGGCTCCATCTCATGACCTGAGATCATGACCAAAATCAAGTCAGGCGCTCAACTTACTGAGCTACCTACGTGCTCCCCGGGGCGTATATGATACAATTTCTTAAAGCAGAATACAAAATTATGTCTGTACTGTGATTATAACCATGTAAATTATGTACAGACTGGGAGGAAAGACTAGAAAGGAACCTGGGAAAATTAAAACAGTCGAACTTTTTCTCTTGAGGAAGAAAAGTGAGTATCCCTTTCCTGGCTGTCCCCTAGAGCACCAGAAGAGCCTGGACAAGCTCCTTAATAACTGCCTGTTGAGCTGTACCATGCAGGAGCTCATTGGCTTCTATATAACCATGGAGGAGTACTTCATGAGGGAGACTGTCAACAAGGTAGGACAGAGGATACACTCCTTGGAAATGGGGCTTCCTGTGCAAAAAACCAGACTGGAGGAATGGCCGAGGCATGTCACATTTCTTGGCCTGCTTTGAGAATATCCTTGCTTGCAACTGAGCGGTACCCCTTTGTATGATTAGAGGGCATTTTTAGAGTTGTCATGCTCTCCAAAGACCTAGCTAGGATGTCTTTCCCAAGAATCACAAAAGAACACCTCAGCTCCTCAGGGAGCCTACTTGTGATCCCCTCCCAGGGAGCCTACCTACTTCCCTGGAAGTATGTGAGTAAAGAACCTCAGGGAAGAAGGGCCTCTCCTGATGTCTTACATCCCGGGTAACAGGTGTCCCCAGGGCAAAGGCCCTAAATACTTAATGTCCTAACATAGTCATCAGTAGGGAAATGAGCTGTTTTGGCAAGGAGGATCCACACCAGGCTGTGACCAGAGTAAGCCATGTTGGGAGAAACAAGGGCAAGCTCAAAAAAAGCAGAACCAGAGCCTATTCCAGAACCGTCTAGAACAGTGGCATACAGAACTGGAGCCCTCACTGGCTGCTTTGCCTTTTGGTTAGGCTGTGGCTTTGGACACCTATGAGAAAGGCCAGTTGACATCCAGCATGGTGGATGATGTCTTCTACATTGTAAAGAAGTGCATTGGGCGGGCTCTGTCCAGTTCCAGCATCGACTGTCTCTGTGCCATGATCAACCTTGCAACCACGGAGCTGGAGTCTGACTTCAGGTAGGGTTGACTCCCTTTCTACTTTCTAGGAAGGAGAAAGGTCCTAGTTTGGTTTAATATTGATTCCTGAGGCCCCTGTTGCTTCCTTTTTTTCCCCATATGATTCTAGTTCAGTGCTATACAGGATAAAACTCCTATCCATGGTACAACATCCTTGGGTCCAGGCAGCTGTAGAGCAGCCAGATATCTTACAGGCTGCATCTGTGTTCCCTGAACTGGACGGGAGGGGTTACTGGCCCTCAGGCCTAGGAAAGAGAATAGGCAGCTCAGGTGAAGGCAGTAGGTATAATATAGCAATCATAGTTACCATTGCTACAAACCAAGCACTATACTAATTTCCTGCTCTCATTCAGTCCTGATAACAACCCTATGATGTAGGAACCATTACCTCTCTTACAGATGAGGAAACTAGGGCTCAGGGAGAGCAGGCACCTCATAAATGGTGGAATATGGAGTGAAGCCCAGAACTGACTTCCAAAACCTGTTCTCTCACCACTTACATGGTACTGCCTTTCACTAAGCTCTGTGCCTCCTCTTGCGTTTGTTGGAGCTCAGTGGCGGTAACTGAAATCCTCATAGGAAGCAAAGAACTGGCCAATCTCCTCTATATGTTCTGGTCATATCAATGCCTTTAAAGGGGCATTGGTCTCTCTCATACCCTGGATGCTCAAGTTCTCCTACAATGGTCTCAAGGATTGGTTATTCCCCCAAAAGAGCAGCTCATGCCGCTGGGTTAGGGTCGTGCACCCTCTCTTCCACTATCCTGGAAGCCAGATTGAGTGCTGTCAATCTCCATATGCCATTCTCCTCCCCTCCCAGGGACGTTCTGTGTAACAAGCTGCGGATGGGCTTCCCGGCCACCACCCTCCAGGACATCCAGCGAGGGGTGACGAGTGCCGTGAACATCATGCACAGCAGCCTCCAGCAAGGCAAATTTGACACAAAAGGCATTGAGAGCACTGACGAGGCCAAGCTGTCCTTTCTGGTAGGTAGCCCCATAGATTGGGAGCTGGTCCATTTATTTCAAGGGGTTAAATTATGACCTCTAAGCCACAGTGTAATTAGCTTTCAACTAGAGACTTTTCATCCATTCCCTCTATAGAAGGAAAGCTCCCCCTAGAAGGTTCTGAAACCACTTCTTATTCAGGGACCTATTTCTGAGCAATCCAATCCAGGACATCGCTGTTCCCTGCCTGGAAGTCTGGGCTCCTCAGCTCTCCCGGGTGCTCATTCCCAAGAGCACTAGGAAGCTGTTCCCAGGGCTCCACTGAGTATCACGCCTGGGTTGCATCTGCCACAGAACCGACTGTAATATCTGTGCCAAGCCTCCAGCCCACTTCTCTGAGGGAAGTCTCACAACATGGAGGGGTGCTGATCATTTAGGCCTAGCAGGGTGGTTTTCCTAGCACACTTCTTGGGCTTTCAACTTCCTCAGAAAAATGACCTTTTTGAAGCTCTTAGCCAGAATGACTGACAACATGATGCAGTGTCTTACCAGTTGTATGACAGCTGGGAATGGAAAAGCATGGAAGGATGAAAAGGCTTATACAAGGTTAATAGCCAGTTTGTGATGAGTCAAAAGAATACAGATGAGTCCCGAGCCTGTGATCAGCCCTTCTTGGCACGTGCTGTATTGGCATGAGTGGTAACAGTGCTGTCAGAGGTCATTCTGCTCCACGCCCACAATGGCCAGGCTCTTGAGTCTTCTTCGCTTCTGGGGTTCAGAGCCTGAAGGAAACACCCAACAATAGAACTCTCCATTTGTAGCCTCCAGAGAGAGTCTCTGGACACCCTGGGGTTAGATGCCAAGTCTGTACCTTTTTTTTTTCTCCCTGGAAGCAGAGTCCTTGGCTTTTATCAGCTTCTTAAAGGTATCCATGACACCCGAAAGAGTTAAGAGCTGTTGTTTATGGAGACAGTAGCATAAACATACTAATATCCACCCACCTGTGCAAGTTAACCCACAGTGACTCATCCTGAGGCAGATTCAGTATGGAAGCTCTTTAGGCAGCCCCGCTGTCTTCCTGTCACTGAAAATATTTTCCCTGAGCATGGGTTCTAGTGATTTGGGATGTCCTGGTTGTTTCCAAGAAAGAAGATCAGCTCCAAGAAGCTTCTGAAATCCGACACCTTTGGAGAACCTTGCCAAAATGTCTGGCAGCCAGTTTCCTGTGATCACGAACTGACTTAAATTTTTCATTTTGTTTGCATTCATTTCATTTTCTACCAGACTTACTTTTATTCTTTCATTTCTCTGCTCAGAAATGACCACCTAGCTGCTGACCACCTCAGAGCTCTGCCTCTTCACTTGGTGGTTTGTTGACAGCTTCCAGAGTCTGACCCATCCTGCCACACTAGTGCTGTTCTCCTCCCCTTGGCCCCACAAGTCCCCATGACACTGGCTGCCACACAGACAGCTTCATTGTTTGAGGGCCCAGAAGATAAGGCCAACAAGAAAGGTGATGCTAAATGCTTTGCGACAGGTTTCCCGTTTTCCCAACGCCATCTATTTAAAATGTCATCACTCCCACTGCGGCACTTATTTCTTATGTCACCTTGATTCATTTGGCTGTCAAGATGAATTCCCCATCGGTGCTGATATATCAGTCACCACGAGCCACGGATAAGCCCAGTGAATCCATGCTTACAAGGACTGTCAGTAAAATGAAACTTTGAAATCAATAGCTTTTGAACTCAAATCCATCTTCCCCTTATGATAGATTTTTCTTATGCCCTTAAATGCCTTGGAAACATTTAAGTTGTGGCCTTCATCCTTGAGCTGTCACGAGAGTGCACGTATTTCTCTGCAGGCTTGCGACGTCAGCAGCCGTGTGTGCGGCATGCTAACGAAAGGCTTCAAGTCTCACCCAACCCTGTGAAAGCGGCCTTGGCACTGTCAGCAGCAAGATCTTTCAGTACTGGCTGCAGGACAGTGATGAGGGAAGCACTCTTGAGGACACAAGGGGGTCATCCTAATCTCAGTCCTTGGAGTTCTAGGATTCTTTTACCCCAAATCCTGAAGCTTCTGACTCATCTCTTGAAAACTGGCTCCTCCCTGCCTCACCCCTGCCTTCATGGTCATGCCCCCAGCATCCCAGTTCAGAGAGAGCATGATCCTCTCAAACTCTGTAATTCCACCCCCACACAGCCTCTAGATTAGGTTTCCCAAACCACATCTGTGCGCATCCAGCATTCGCCTGGTAGGTAGTAATCCTCGGTGCCACCCTGTTGTCCACGGGAGAGCGTGGCTTCCAACTTCTAGTCTGACTTCACTCCCCTCTGCAGCTTTACCTCTTGCCATTGCCTGCACATATCTGTGCACTAATTCTGCTGATAAAGGTATTTGACCTTTTGGGGTTTTCTGCCACTCTGCAACTGTTTATGTTCTCCCTTCTGCAGAACACATTCACTTACTCATTCATTCAACAAATACTTACTGAGATGCTTCTATGTATTAGGCACTGCTCTAGGCTCTGGAACTGCACTGCACGATGTAGCAGCCAGTAGGCAGAGATGGCTATTTAAATTTAAACCAATAAATAAAATCTTTTTTTAAAAGGTGGGAGGGAACGCCTGTGTGGCTCAGTCTGTTAAGTGTCTGACTTCTGCTTAGGTCATGATCTCGGGGTCCTGGGATCAAGTCCCGCATCGGGCTCCTTGCCCAGTAGGAAGCCTGCTTCTCCCTCTGCCTATGTCTCCTGCTTGTGCTCTGACAAATAAATTTTTTTTAATAAATAACTAATAAATTTAAACCAAAAATCCAGTTCCTAAGCCATATTTCAAGTGTTCATTAGCCTAATGTACAGATGGTTAGGGGCTACTGTATTAGGCAATTAAGATTTAGAATATTTCTATCATCAAGAAAGTTCTGTTGGGCAGTGTTCTACTAGAGACCTAGCTCTAAAGAAAACAGAATAGACCCCTCCCTTTATGGAGCTCTCATTCTAGCGGGAAAGGCAAACAAGAAGCAAACAAAATAATACTGGGTAATCCTAAATACCATTAAGAAAATATCAAAGGGGCCTGACAATGCACTAGAGAAAGGCCGATGCTGGTGGAGAAATGCACTCACCCTCATCTGCCAGAATTACTCCAGCCAGGGCGCCTGGGTGGCTCAGTGGGTTGAGCTGCTGCCTTCGGCTCGGGTCATGATTTCAGAGTCCTGGGATCGAGCCCCACATCGGGCTCTCTGCTCAGCAGGGAGCCTGCTTCCTCCTCTCTCTCTGCCTGCCTCTCTGCCTACTTGTAATCTCTGTCTGTCAAATAAATAAATAAAATCTTAAAAAATTTTTTTTTAAAAAAGACGATACAGTTATGAAAGAAGGAGCTCTTAGCTAAGAGTCGGGAGACCTGATTTCTATTTCTGGCTGTAGCCCTGTGGCCTGTCACTAACTTTCTGTCCTCTCATCCTGCTTTATTCTGCATTGTGTTTATCGTTATCTGATGTTTCTACTCTGACTTGCCTTCTGGAATATGAACTCTATGAGAGGGTAGATTTCAGGAGACATTTTTTTTTTTTTTTTTAAAGATTTTATCCATTTGACAGAGAGACCATGAGCAGGGGGAGGGGCCTACGGAGAAGCAGATTCCCCACTGAGCAAGGAGCCACACATGGGGATCGATCCTAGAACCCTGGGATCATGACCTGAGCCAAAGGCAGATGCTTAATGGCTCAACTGAGCCACCCAGGTGCCCCAGAAAGCATTTCTTAAATGAATGTCAGCCTTTGCCTCACTGACCTGGGCTTGGAGCTCAGGACTTCTCCCAGACCTGTGTGCCTAAACATGGGACAAAAATTCCTGAAACCTTGGGTCACTACCCCTGACATTAGATGTTAGATGGCTTTGCTGCCTTAGCGTCAGGCACAGGAGAAAGGGCAAGCCTGGTTCACCATTCTGCCCGATCTAAGGTCTGAGCACCCTTCCAGATGACCTTGCTGTGTGTGTTCCTTAGCGCTCCTCTGAGCCTCAGGAGTACAGCTGTCAGCCAGTCTGGCACTGGAGTGGTTCAGACACCAGTGAGCAGGAAGTCACATTCCTCTGTCTTCAACTCCCAGGTCACCCTGAACAATGTGGAAGTGTGCAGTGAGAACATCTCCACTCTGAAGAAGACACTGGAGGTATGGAGAACATTGCCTGTCAGCTGCAGCCTCTCTGGGCCTGCCTGTGCAGGGAGGACTGTGCACTGGTTCTGGTGGGGACTGTCCATCCCCTGGCACGGATCTAGTCTTCCTTCAGAGCACCAGAGGGGATTCGCTCATGATCAGCCCACCAGTTGGAAGATCAGAATTCAAATTAGCACTTCCAGCACATACTGGGCCTGTGACCTCAGGCAAGTCCCTTAACTCCCTGAGCCTCAACACTCTCATCTATAAAACAGATCTCCTTCCTGCCCTCATTTGGGTTTATTGGGGGCGTAATTAAAAAGAGGTTGAAAGCACTTTAAAAAATGATGAAGTCCTGTAAAAATATTAGGAAATTAAGATGAAATAAGGTTTACCAAACCTGCTACAAAGCTGTTGCTGTTACCATTTTTTTTTTTTTAAAGGAAGGCTGCACAGTGTGGTGTAAATTGCTTGGGTTTGGAAGTCAGATCCCCCTGGGTTCATAGCTCTGTTTGACCCTTGACCAGCTGTGTGGCATGAGGCGGGTTCTCTAACCTCCCCGAGCCTCAGTGTCCTCATCTATAAATAGGGAGAATGATATCTGCCTCACAGAGTTACAAAAATTGAATATAATAATATAAAATACCTGGTTTGTAAGAGGCATGCCGGGGTAGTTAATAACTGTACTAACAGTTAATAACTAATAATAGCACAAGACAATTATTTTGCTAAGTATTAGAAAATGAAGGGCCAACGCTCCCCCACTTCAAAAGTCTGCCTCTGGGAGAGGAGGGGAGCCAGGGTCCTGCCATCCCAGCAGACACTGAGTCCGAGGAGGAAACATTACTGCAGAGACACAGGGCTCAGCGCACAGGCTGATTGTGAGTGTTGGCTTAGGGGTGGCAGACTAAGGGGGCCAGGAGCCAGCACAGGGGGTGAGATTCTTGTAACTGATGCAGTTCCTGAAGGAGGCTGAGAGAGAGCAGCCAGGTGGGAGATTCAGATTAGAATGGAGTAAAATAAGAGTGAACCAAAAGCATAGTGTTCGTCACACAGTACGTGTTTGCCAAGGTAGCTGTCATCATTGTCGAGTCACAGCACCTTTTAGATTGTATTCCTGACTTTGTCCTTAAGATTTTGTCCTTAGGATATTGAATTTGGAAGGAGTATTTTGGGAAATGTTAGAAATTTAGACCTGAGCCAGCAGAATTAGCAAGTGAAAGAAAAGGGTAGCAAAGAGCTGAGAAAACTGTTCCCATGAATCCCACCCACCTTAGACGTGCATTTCACGTGTGTTCTTCCTGAACCGCACCAGCAGCCCTTCGGGATAGGTCAGGTGGCGTGAGGAGGTTACAAGGCGGGGCAAAGACAGTGCTTGTTCAGCTGCTGTGGAACTGAGGGCTCCCGCCGGCTGCATCAGGCCCCTTGCGGCTCTTCCGCACTGCTGCCTGTCATAGCCAGAAGCGCACAGACTTCCAAGGAGCTCCTGGCAAACCAGGACATCGTGAGTTTCAGGCAGCTCCGCTTGTGATGTTCTCCATACCTAGGCTGTTGTACAGGCGTTAGGAACAGGCACTCTGCAGCCAGGATCCCAGCTCGAATCCCAGCTCTACCACTTAACTACTGGGTGGTGTTAGACCAATTACTAACTTCTCTGTGCCTCACTTTCCTCATCTATACAAAGAGATAGTAACAATACCTACTTCTTAAGACAGGTACCTTAATTAATAAAAGTTAAATATTTTAAATAGGGCCTGGCATACAGTAAGCACTTAAAACTTAGCTGCGATCATGATGATCTCCCTTGGGCACCCAAACCAAATTATTTTATTTTGTTATAAAGATTTATTTATTGGGGTGCCTTGGTGTCAAGAGTCAGACGCTCCACTGACTGAGCCACCCAGGTGCCCCAGGACCAAATTATCTAAAAAGCAGAAACTATAACAATAAAGGCTCGCATCACCTGAGTGTCCACTGCTTGCCAGGAGCTGTGCTAGGCACTTGGTGCATCATCTCTTCCAACTCTCCCAACTACCATGGGGACAGGAATTTGTGTTCCCATTTTATAAACAGGGTCATTGAAGCTCAGAAACTTTTTAAATCACTTGACCAAGGTCACTCAACCAATATGTAGCCAGAATTTGAAGCTAGGAATGGCTGACTCTAAAGGTATGAAAAAACTTACGATTTTTATGTTTTTTATTCATACCCCCTGATACCAATACTCTCATCTTACAAAGGGAGAAATGAGAGCCAAGTGGCTAGCCACTGGGATAGAATCCAAGTTTTCTGAAACCTATCAAGGACTCTTGCCTAGGAGTGTAGTGGACTGACTGTAGCTCTTCCCAGGGAAAGCTGGAGTCGGAGAAATGGCTGCTTGTACATGGGCACCTTCTCCACCCTCCCTACACCTGCACATCCCAGCCATGCTTGGAAGCCTGATAACTGGGTACTCTCCCCTAGAGTGACTGCACCAAGTTGTTCAGCCAGGGCATTGGAGGGGAGCAGGCCCAGGCCAAGTTTGACAGCTGCCTTTCTGACTTGGCTGCCGTGTCCAACAAATTCCGAGACCTTCTGCAGGTAAGCCCCAGGATCTGTTGTTGACTGAATCCTGTGCCTGTGTGTTGCTCTGAGAATACTGTTACTCGTTTATTACGGGATCAATATATATAAGGAACAAGGAGAAGTGAGGGAATAGCATGCAAGACACTGAGCTCATGTGAGTCCCTTGAAGATTCGTTTTTCGGCAGTTGTCATCCTGACAAGCCAGCATTGTGGTCCTTTTGAGTCTCCACTTGGCCTCCAGTGCCAAGAGCCCAGAAAGGTGCTCAGAAGAAGTGCAGCCACATGGTTACTCAGACCTGCAGCCTGGCCTTAGGCAAAGGTGCTGCCTACTATCAGGTACTCAGAAATCTCTTCTCTTGAGTTTGCCAAACCAACCCCATAGCCTGGACCTGAATTGGCACATATCTGGAAAGGAACAGGTTGTTTCTGACCTCTTCGATTAGCATTTTCTGGTAGACTTTGGACAGGCTCACAGGAAAACCAGAGAACTAGACTAACGCCCTGGCAGTCACAAGATGGATGGAGCAGAAGAAAGGAAGGGCGAGGTACATGCATCTTCTGTGTCTGATGTGTCTCTGCCTTGTCTTTCCGCAGGAAGGGCTGACGGAGTTAAACAGCACAGCCATCAAGCCGCAGGTGCAGCCTTGGATCAACACCTTCTTATCTGTCTCCCACAACATCGAAGAGGTCAGCCTGACCATAGGCAGCCATCAGGCCCCGAATTATTCCTCATTCTCCAGCCCCCTGGCTGGAGGGCAGTGGAGCTGTCTGAACAGACCAGCCCTTCCCTGCCTCTCTGGCCCACTTTCCTCACCCTGGCAGACGAGGTTCTTCCCAGGAAACAGGTTGTTCCTGCCGACAGACGGGCTCTGAAAGACACCTGTAGGGGATTTTCCATGACCTGGCACATCCTCTTTTATTAAGGCTTTTTGCCCTACCTATCACACTTCAGAGCTTTTTTCTTAGCCTAATGATGTCATTCCTGCAGAACATGAGATCCAAAAGGAAATAAAATGCCAGGAGCTTTACCATATTGTGTGGCCACTGCTGCAGCCCAGGGCCATTTCCTGATCAGAAGTGTGATATAAAAGCAGCAGTAGCGTATGCCAGCTTGGATGTCCAAGCTGCTTCACCTGGATGAGTCAGAAGCTAGAGAGGAAAGACCTCTTTCTCTGTTTTCTTAGAGGGGTGAAAGTAGGGGGTAGGGTGAATGGTACTTTCTGGAGAAAATCCCAGTGACCCAGCTTGTTTCCTGGCAGGAAGAATTCAACGACTATGAGGCCAATGACCCCTGGGTACAACAGTTCATCCTTAACCTGGAGCAACAAATGGCGGAGTTCAAGGTGAGCAGGGGCTGAGAGACCAGGTTATGGAATTACCCACTTCTGCCCAAATCAGCAGCCTTTGGCTTCTCATCACACTCTACTGGGAACCCCGAAAACTCTTCCAGGCCCCAGCCTGTAGACATACTCCCCGATGGCCTCTTGTAGCTGTGCTTACTCCCCCCAACCCCCAAAGACTCCAGTTGGAGGCGGAGGGGCTTAGGTAGGACTCTCGCTTATGTCTAACCTCTTGTGTCAGGCCAGCCTGTCTCCAGTCATCTATGACAGCTTGACCGGCCTCATGACCAGCCTTGTTGCAGTGGAGTTGGAGAGAGTGGTGTTGAAATCCACCTTTAACCGGGTAAGGTCCAGGGAGTACAGGTCCCCAGCTCTTGTTTTTCCTCCGAGGAAGACAGACCTGCCATCCTAGGCCTCGCATCCCCTCAGTCTGCCGCCCGCAGCTCCCTGCACATCCAGCTGCAGTCCTGCCCTGGCGTCTGAGGCCTTGGAGCTGACTGAGGCACAGGAGGGCCAGGCCTTGAACGCTGGCTGAGCTTGTGCTCCCTTGCAGCTGGGCGGTCTGCAGTTTGATAAGGAGCTGAGGTCACTCATCGCCTACCTTACCACAGTGACCACCTGGACCATCCGAGACAAGTTTGCCCGGCTCTCCCAGATGGCCACAATCCTCAATCTGGAGCGGGTATGTGTGGCTCCCTTAACCTGGTGAGGGAAAGGTAACTGGGAAGAGAGGCAGAAACATTTAGATCCCTGCCTCTTCTCAAAACCAAGTGTCCACCAGCAGCCCAGCCCTACAGAGCACCTTCTTCCTGGGCACCGCCCTGCTCTGCCTTCTCTCAGGGTAGCCTCTCATTGCTGACTTGCCAGTGTTCTTCCCCACAGGTCACGGAGATCCTAGATTACTGGGGCGCCAACTCTGGCCCACTGACGTGGCGCCTCACCCCTGCCGAAGTACGCCAGGTGCTGGCTCTGCGCATGGACTTCCGCAGTGAGGACATCAAGAGGCTGCGCCTGTAGCCGAGGCCCATCGGGCCTGTCATTCTTCAGGCTCTGTTCCCTAAGTGGCCACGGCCAAGTAGCTGAGCAAGGCTGTCTGGCTTGGGGAGCTCTGACAGCACAGACTGTTCCACTGTGGACAGCAGGAAGTAAGGCTCAGCTCACCCTGCTGTCTGCACTCAGGCCTGTCTGCGTGGTGCTTTGCAGGCAGCCTCCCCCCACCAAGAGAGGTGAGTCCCTTGGGCTCCTAATTATGTGGGAAAGCCAAGGCAGGCCAGCTTTCTGCATGGGCGGTCATTCTCTCCTCCTTAGACACTACAGCAAACAGGCTGCCTCCCATCCAGCCCTAAAGGACTTGGGTATACCTGGGGACCCAGGGAATTAGGTTTACTCTGAAAGGCTGTGATGTTTATGATCACCCTGAATAAAGACACTCCTTGGAGAGATGCCAGCGTGCTGTTTCCAGGGAGGGCTGGATGCACAAGGTAAGACAGGTCCACAGTAGCACTGAAGTGTGAAAGCAAAAGCCTAAAGCCTCAGCCTCCTCCTACACCCCAAGGGGTGCACAGCCACCGTCAGGACCCACATGGAAGCACGCACCTCAGCCTCCTCTAATCCTGGATCCTCATGCCCCTCCTGGGCCCTTAGCACCAGGAGCTGGATCATCTCAGGGGCAGTTGCCCACAGTGCCAAGGCAAGTGGGAATTACTCCTGGCAGGGACAAAAAAGAGCTTTATGAAAACAGCCTGGAAGGGCAGAGAAAATTTATTCCAAGAAGGTTGCAATCCTGAGAACCAACTGCCCATAGGCACTGGGTCATGTGGCATCGTCCGTAGTGTTGATGGTTAAGGCCTCTATTAGCCGTGACTTTCTGTTAAGACCGCATTGGCTCATGGCCACAAACAGGAGTATGGACCCACACCCCTGTTCCGCCTCCCCCATCAAGTCAGCCTAGGAATGAGTGTTGAACAGGAAGTCTCTTCTTAGGCAAACACCTGACCTCTAAGGAAGGCCACAGGAAATGCCTCAGAGAGCCTTTTCAGGGTTGGCCTTAACCGAGGGACCCCAGCTATCTGCTAAAGCTGGTCATCCTTTTTCCAGGCCCTCATAGAGAATAAGGAGGCCAAGGCCCAAGGTGGGCCTTCGTAAAGGCCACATGGGACACTGAGCTTAGGACTTGCCTATGTCCAGATGGAGCAGAGGCCAAGCCTAGGCCACAGTCAACCAGAAGGTCACAGTCCTATTCCCAGGCACCATCCATTCCCAAGCTCCAGAAAGGGCTGGGCCCCAGCTCCCGGTGGCTGGCTGGCTTTGGGAGCAGGTTCACAAAGGGCTGGGTAGAGAGTAGAAGGCTGACACTCCCATGGGGGAAGGAAGGGCAGGGCTGCTGTAGCTCCAGGTTTTCTCCTCTTACAGAGAGACAAGCCTGGGAAGGAGCATCAGGTTGAGGTCTCACCACCCAATAGCTGCAGGCTCAGGCCCTGAGTGTCCACTTGTACCAGGTGGACGCTGTAGTTCCCGAGGCCCTGGGAGCAAAGGACAGGAGGTGTTCAGAGAATGGGAGGCTCTGAGCAGGTATCAGGCCACAAACTTCATGCTGCTAGGTGGTCGGGGGACTTACAGCTGTAGCCCCTGCTTAGTGGTGGGCCACAGTGAGGGCTCCTGTCCCCCACCAGTAACCACACCCCCAACACAGGTACCTCAGTCTTGGCCAGGACAGCCTCCAGAGCCTCCTTCTGCCGCGGCTCCTTGGTCAACAGATAGAGAAAACCCCCGCCACCTGCCCCTGCCAGGCTCTGGCCATGTACGTGGGGGGCCAGGACATCCATCATACGCCGCACAGCCAGGGGCTCACAGCCTGGAGCCATGAGCTTCTTTTGTTCCCAGTATGAGGTCAGGCACTGGCCCAGCAGAGGCAGGCTCCCTGGATAGAGGACAGAGAGGAGTGGCCTGCCTGAGCCAGGATATTCCTTCAACACCCATATGTAGACGGAATGAGGTGCCAAGAGGCACTATTTAACCAGTGTCATGGTTAAAAACGTAGGTCCAGTCCTGGCTGGAAACAGGAGTGCGGAAGCCCACCACACAGGGTTTGAGGACTAAAGGTGCATAGAGCGGCTGGCATGGGGCCCAATACAGTATTCAGTCAACTGTAGCCACACACATGGAACCCTGATCCACTGACTCTGGAACTCAACAATGGGGCTGAGCCTCCTTCCCAGTCTGCTGCCTGGTCAGTGCGGCTAGAGGCCTGCCTCGTGATGCAAGTGTTATCTTAAGATAGGGCTCCCACCTAAGTGTGAGACCCCACAGAGGAGACAGTAGACTTCTGTCTCCAGGAGCCTCATATATGGGGTCTGAGCCAAGCCTGCAAAGGCTCCTGACCTCAGACCCACAGGTGACAAGGTACTCACTCCCAGTGCCCTGAGACCCAACAAGAAGGACCTCACCTTGGCGGAAGGCTTCAGCACATTTCTCGGTGTGCTGCACCAGGCTGTGGGCATTCTGCACGACGGCAGGCAGCCGGGCATACCAGTTCCTCAGCACATCCTGCAGATGGGGCAGGAGGGAGGCAGTAAGGATGTGGGCCCAGCCGAGCTGCCTGCCTCCCTCCCTCCTGGGGCCAGGGCTCACCTGCAGCAGATTCCGTGCCAACCGGGTCTTGCCAGTGTACACCAGCAGCAGGTGGTCATTGAGCTGCTGGACAAAGCCCTCAGGCACAGTGATCTCTTCCACCTCCACCTTCAGTGGCAGCTGAGCCCGGGAGCGCCCCACCTTGATGCCAGGCATTAGGCCACCCACTTGGTCCTGCCAGCCACCTCCTGCAAGCCCAGCATCCCATCACTTTTGGAGCCTATCTGCCTCAACTTCTGTCTCCCAGCCCGGGCTCCCAGCCCTACAACCCGGGCAGGGACCAGGTGGGAAGACAGCTTCCCCCAACTCAGGCTGGGCCAGGTTAGCTGTGCAGCTTCTGCCCCCAGACCTGGGAAAAGGACAAGCCCAGCAAGGGGAGAGGGTTTCACTCTGGAGCCAAGCTTGGAACTCACAAGGCCTGAGTTCTGTTGCAGACCTAACTGTAAGTGGAATTGGGTAAACCACATCAGAGGGTAAGCCCTAATGATAAACTCATCCCCTCCAGGAGAGATGACATAGGACCTTCCCTGCAGCCGAACAGGCCTCTGCACCCTGTCTTTTCTAATAAAGAGTGCTGAGGTTAGAAACCAGCTTTTCAGCATCATCACTGAACTTGAAAGAGCTTGTTCACATCCTGCTTTAGCAATGAATAGTATGGATCTCCTCTTGCAGCTATAAAAAAGTAACACTATTTGAGAGAATTCTGATAGGCCTTTCACATCTGGGGAAGGGCCTACAAGGATTTTAAAGTACAAAATGCCAATGGCAGGAAGCATCTGAAACTTTACAGCCAAGACATGGCGGTTGGCGTCGGGCCCCCAGTGTCAAGAACTCTTTACCAGCACCCCTCTCCTTCAGAGCACTCAGCACAGTGTATAATGATACGTTCGTTTGAGTGGTTATTGATTAAGGTCTGTCTCAGTAGGTGATAGGATTTCTGAGGGCAAGAACCCTGTTTTTGCTCACTTGCTCATTTTATCCCCAAGGCCCAACACAGAGTGGATACTTAACAAATTGTCAGTTGGCTAAATGAAGGATTTGGATGGTACACCTCAGAAGGAAAGTGAAAAGCCCCCTCCCCCCACCCTGCTAATGACTACCCTTTCTGGGGTGTGAATCATGGCAGTGAAGGGAGGAGGGTGGGCTACAAAGTAGCCAGAGAAGATGCCATAGTCAGGCATCCAGCTTCCTTCCCAGGGTCCTGCAGGTGAGGCCCTGCATCCGGAGGTGACCAAAGTGCCATAGGATCTGGAGTCAGACAAACCTTCAGCTGCTCTCCCTTGTGCACGGATTCCAAGGGGCCATGGTAGTGTTGGGGAGGAAGGTGCCAGTAACATTCCATTATGATCACAGCCATGTATTGGGCCCTCTGCGCCCCCCGCATATGGTAGTGGGGGGCATATGTGTCCAGAAGACAAGTTTAAAGTTCTATCCCCTATTCCGAACCCACCTTTGCCCAGCCCCACCCTGAGGGACAGCCCTTGGTGGAGACAGAATCATGAGGACTAGCACTGGGTATAACGGGTACCTAGTAAGACACATGAAAGCTACAGCACAGAATCTGTCACTTAGCAGGTGCTCCTAAAGCATCAGGCCCTTGGAGGTTGAAACATTTCAAGTTGAAAACCAACCATAAAAGGTCAGGGTAGTAAGAAGGACACTGTAGCCACTTGAAGTAGTACCGTTACATGGCTGTTTGCAAGTCCAGGAGCCCCTGGAGGGCCTCGGAGAAATGCCTGTGACCTCCCTCCTGCCCCAGGGCGGTCCCATACCTGTGGTGAGCACCTGTTCCAGGTGCAGCACTGCATGGATCAGGGCCTCGGTGCCCACCACCCGGCCCGCGGCCCTCTGCAAGGCAGCCAGGGCTGCGCCTGCCAGGATGCTGCTCGTGCCTGCAGGGTGCCGAGGAAGACACCAGGCATGAGACAGCCCTGCCCGGCCCGTCCTGCCCCACCCACTCCCTCCACTGGGCAGAGGTTGGGGAAGGGATCAGAGGGGAGGCCGGGGGTTGGGGATGCAACCGGTGGGCAGCAGGGAGACAAGACCCGCTCACCAAGACCAGAGCCGTGGGGCAGCTCAGACCAGGCGTGCAGCTCGAAGCCTCCCCTGAAGGTCTGCAGCAGCTGCTCTCTCAACGAAAGCTTGGAGCCGACATGCACAATCCCCGCACAGATGAAGGCTGCCTTCAGCAGAGCCCCTGCAAAGGGACCAGCAAGGAATTTGGTCTCCAAGGGTAGAAGCAGATACCCCAAGCCACCTCCATGACTGCCCAGCCCCACAAGGGGCTCACCGGGGGACAAAAGCCCAGCAGTATTGTAGGCCCCATCTCTAAGCCATAAAAGGCCCTCTGATGACTTCGGGGCTCCTCCACCAGACCGGCTCACCCTCAGGCCAGATCTCTGTGGCCTGCAGGGTCTCCAAGGTTCTGCCCCCAGCCCTCAGCTGGCCACGAGTGCCATCCCCACCTGTAGATGTCACAAGTGCCCTGACCTGGGGCATGGGGCTGGCAGTAATCCTGCAGGTCATCCAGGCTCCAGCATACCATCTTCATGGCCATCTTGTCCTGCCGAGGCCCCACTGCCAGCCACAGCTCAGGCTCCGGGATGCGGCGTGCCCTGGCCCCGATGGGCCGGTGGCCATCCACTCGCACAGCCAAACCCAGCACTGCCCCACCGAGCTCATAGGCAAGGGGTGGCGTGTCACTCCAGCCACCTTCAGCAATTGGACAAGACCAAGTGGGTCACAAGGGCTGCGAGCCTAACTCTGGGGTGGCTACCCTCACCCCCACCCCTGTGGGGCTCACCAGAGAAAT